AATTAAATTATAAATATATCAATTCATGTGAATATGACTGAAAATTTTCATTTTTTCTGAAAAGGTGGTGTCTATTTACTTGTGACCACGCTGTGTACTCTACTGTAGGACATTACATTGAACTACTGCTGCTAGGACTTTTGTGTGTTATTAAACATATTTAAAATTAAATATAACACAAAACGTTACATAATTATCTCAGATCATAATTTTATGGTCCCAGGAGGTTCTCCCAGTATGTCAGCAGTAATGTTATGGATTTCCTACATTAAAATCATGGTTCTGTTCCTCCTTGTGGACAGGTCGCAGATAGCTTGTTGTGTAGATTTACGTCCAAACAAACAAACAAACCCAGGAGGTTATCTAAGAAGATACTGAACAAATTCATAAATATATTGCCAAAGTACAATGTTTTTATATTTTTCATATTGGTTGTAGTGTTATAAATAGTTCTGAAAAATATTAATACAGAAACAGCTAATCAGGGTAATGGAAAAAGAGAAATACGTTTATTTTGGCCAATATTAACAAATGTTAACATATATATATGACAATGTTAACCTATAGATGACACTAGTGTATGAGATAAGTTAGCATACATCACGTGATTGTTACCTTTACTTTGATTGGTTTTACATCTCGGTTCGTAGTATTAGTGATTGTTTAGACAGACGTCGGGGTAAGTAAATATTGCAGCTTTGGATATTTAAAGAAATGGAAGCTTCACTGTTGATAACCGATGTCACCTTGCTCGTTATTATTTGAATATACATTTTATAAACTGCACTTACATGAAGAACGAGGAAGTCGATTGTTCGCCTTACTAGTGATGAGGTTGCCGCTATCAGTATCACTGTTAAAAGTAAAACAACGGTTAAAGTAAACTGAAATTGTGAAAATAGGACACAGAAAAACATCTTTCGACAGCAGAGAATCTGATGTATGGTGAACCGTACGTTTCCCTTCCGTTTTCTGGTTTGATTTTTGTCTTTTATTATTATATTTTTGATTTATGCAATGTTTACCACGCGACTAAACCTGCCTGTAACTTCTCTTGTTAATGTTAAGGAAACAGCTCCATGTGGTGGCCGCAAGTATTTGACAAAAGTAATGGCGGTCTGTTATCATAGTTCATCACCTGGGTTTTTTATTTAGCACATAATCACTTGATCGTATAATGTGGAGAAGCAAGGTTGTGAACATAATATTTGGTGTTGTGATTTGTTTAATGTTTAAAACAAAAAATGAGTGAAGCTTGACGTTACGGATAATGAAGTTATTGTTCAATGGTGATCAAATTATATGGGATTTAAGCAGTTTTCTAGAAAAATAAAAATGAAATAGCAATAGCCAGTAAAACGTATTATTTTGCCACTTTCAGTCTTTTTTTTTTCAAGTCAGTAATAACCAGGCTTTTGGACAGAATGAACAGTAAGTTAAAATATGTTCATTTTAACTATCATTTTTACTGTAAAGGAGACAATTTAAATGAGTGAAATATAACTTTCGTTTTATCCAATTCGGTGTGGAGAAAACTATTATCCACTACTAGTCGGAACTTACTTGTTTACTCGGCTTAAACGTACAAAAGACCGGGAACGTAGAAGATGGCCTACAGACGGAAAACTGGGTGCCGTAATGGACAAGCAATCAGTACCGAAGATGGGCCTCATCTCATCGTCTACAAAAAGGTATATATATATATATACACACAAGGAAATTGAGTTGTGTATAGTGTAAATCATTGTTTGTGTAAGTGTTGTTTATTTACATAAAAGAAATGATAAATGTCATCAAACGTTTAAGGAAAAACAGAATTCATGTTTGATACAAATGTTCTGTTAGTATAACAAGTCACATGTTCTGTAACTTATTCTGCAGAAAACAACAAAAACGTAAAATATAGAGGCACGTTAGATCTTAGAATGAAGTTTACAAATCCATTACATGCACATATATTAAAGTCTAGCTTATATAAGAATATGTTTATGTTAATCTAGTGTATACTTAACAGTAACATTAGTTGAATTCCTGGCATGGTTTATTTTAACTTCTTTAGTGTTAACTTCTAAAATATATACATCATTCAGCTAATATTTGATATATCTTTAGTAACATCTGTAGATGTAGTGTATACCTTCGCAAGCTTGTGCAAATGTAATCTAGGACAAATGATGTGATTTTGGAAACAACAAGAACTGCCTGTTGAGATTGCCATTCTCTCTCTTTTTCTGTCCTTTTCTTTCTATTTATCTGTTTATCTTTCCTATATGTATTAGAAAAAGATGTATTTAGATAGGGGAATACTTATATACAATGTGAACTTCTTTAAAATAATGAGAAATACACTTTTTTTATTTGCTAGCTAACTATTATAATATATAACGAAAACATTCACAAACTATAATATATCATTAAAAAATGATGGATGGAAAGTGAATACTCTCTTTAAAAAATTACTGGTTGCCCGCCTGAGTTCACAAGTCGCATCATTCAAGAAAAAGCGTTGTCATCACGTTGAGACTAAGAAAGTGTGTTTGAAGGATTTCGAGCAAAACTGCTCAAGGGTTACCTGCTCAAGCTGTCCTTAATTTGAAAGTGATACACTAGAGGGAAGGCAGCTAGTCAACACCACTCACCACTAAACTTTTGCTACTCTTTACCAACAAATAGTTGGACTGATTGTCACATAATAATGACCCCATGGCTGAAAGGGCGAGCATGTTCAGCGAAACAAAACCAATAATCCACTAGTCTATAGAAAGTGCTACTAATAGCCAAGTCAGTCATCTTTGTAATCCAATGACAATCAGGAATGTCAACTATGGGAGTAGTTGACAAGGGTGGTCTCCCCCACCCACCCCCAAACTCAGGAGAGGTGCCCTTAATGACAGTTTTTGTGAAATATTTGTAGTCAGGCCAGATTAATACACATACGCAAATTAGAATATAGCATAGGACATGCAGATGAATTGGGGGCCCATGCAACCCCCTTCCAGCATTTTGTGAAATGACAGTTCCGAGTACAACTATTATTATTATAACATATGCTTAGCGAATGCTCAACAGTTTGTTTCATTAGAACCTTTTTTTTTAACATTTCTCAATCGATATTTAAAAGAAAAATTATAAAATCATTAAACTGTTTCTAAATTTTGTTCCTTTTCATATGTTATCTTTGATTACATAAAAATTTAATCCTGTGATATACAAAGCATGTAAAACAATAACAGTTTTAAAAGCGAAAATTGAAAGAAAAACTACAAAATATTTTTAATAATTTTCATATTATCAGATCATACTATTCTTAAGAACCAGTTCTATTAATTAATCTAGTTGTACTTTCAATAACTTTTTTTTTCTATTGTTGTTTGGTAGGAACAATTGACTTTAAAAATATTTTATATCAGTATGATATAGATAATTGACAGTTATTAGGATTCTGAGAAAGTACTTTAAATTCTCTGTTATCAGAGTGTGAACATAGCAATGATTCACTTTTATTGGCTTGTAAGTAATCTGTTTTAGCTTTTTAATGAAAATATTATGGATTTTAATATTTTATGGTTATGGTACTTATAATGTAATTTTGGTAGATAAATGGATTCAGAAAAATATAAATATTGTTGCAGTGACAAGGTATTTCTTATTAAGCTTTATTTTGCTCTTGAAAACTTTTACTACTGTATTTAGCTTTTTGATGACAATTGTATTTGAGACACTGCCATTTAACTAACTAATGATCGAATGCTTAAAATATTGCGATTCGTGAGGTATGTTAATTAATTGTTAAAGTGTTTACTGAACGGTACAAAAAAGCTCTGCAGTGAAAACATTTCTACAGGGACTCATGTTTTCACAGCTTACTTCTAGGAGCTTTCCTTCTTGTCAACTTTTATGTTTTACGATAAATTAGTTTTAAAAAATTAGTAGTGTTTATGCATTTGTCGATAAATGTTGCCAAATTCATTCAGTATACATGTGCAAGGGAGCATTTTTTTATTCATTTTTGCGTGAAAAGTCTTTGGAATAAAACAAAATACACTCGGCATATTATACAAACGATGTTATTAGGATTAACTATATTCTTCACATATTTCATCTACCTTTCTGTAGTGAGGTTAACCTTAATCGCGTCTTATAAAAGCAATATTCCAGCTTCTATTACCTCTTCCATGGTCTTTTACAACCATGGTTATGCATTACTGCCTTACACCACAATTTAGATTGTAACAAGCTTTTGGAAAGGATGGATATATCAGTCACTGACTACTCATGTGGAACAACTTTCTCAGACCATCCACTGTACTTAGAGGTTGGCTTCCATGACCACGTTTAAGCAGACCAAAGACATAAAGTCCTATTGGAACTGCATTGGGAAGCATGACAGATTTGTGGTTGAATGAGCTAGTTGTGATTTCTTCGGCTATCTTTCTCATGAAAACAACTGTTTCATTTTAAGTTTAAAGTAGAAGTTTGTGAACCTTTCAGCTTCATATCCTTGTTTGTTCTCTAATTAATGATACTAGAAACTTTTCTAAACAGAAAATTTGCTTCAGTAATTATGTAGTCTTTACTTCGTGTAAATTTTTTTATTAAGAGTCCATTACTTTCTTAAAAGTGGCTTTGTCTACAAACAAAGAAACAAAGCTGTCTTGAACGTTTTACTTTGCCAGTTCTCCTCCCCCTGCTTCTACAAAGAACACTGAAGGCTGCCTACTTCATAATGTTGTATTATTTGGCTTTAAATCTAATCTCACTCTTTGAATATTTGCTCTTAGAAGTGTTTGTTATTATTATTCCTGCAGCTATAAAACTGTCATGGCCATATTACACAGTTCACTTGAACTGTTACAAATGTGTCGTGAACCAAATATATAAATGCTAAACATGTCAACAATGCCACTTTTCACGTCTGTGGCAACACACCACTGAATTAGCTTATACAAGTTGTTTAAATATAATGCCACTATTTACATATTCGGTGGCCCCCCAGTGGTATGTCTGCAGACTTACAATGTCAGAAACCGGGTTTTGATACCCATGGTGGACAGAACACAGATAGCCTATTGTGTAGCTTTGTGCTTAACTTCAAAAAACATATGTGGTGACACCCCACTGAATTATCCAAATTATTTAAATAACTTACAATTAACCTTTTGTAGAATAATATGAAACCCTTTTGTTGGTGAGTATACTTTGTAGATCAAATACATTTATGTCTTTTTTTTTGCAGGTAAATCAGTTATTAATAAAAACAAATCACAAACAATAACTCGCTTTGTCATACTATTAGAATATGTTCTATTTGTTAACAAAATACCTTTGGCATGTGTGAAGAAACCTGAGAAACAGATTTGTGTTCCTGTTATGGGTTACACTTAATGCCCCATGTTATTGTATTAAAATCACTATATTTATATCTAAATTCTCAGATGTTTTCTTTTGTCAAATGTTTTAAAGGGAAAGAGTGTTTAAATTAGTGTTAAGAAGAACTAGTATGAGCATATAGATTTTAAACGTGGTATAACTTAACTCTTAATTTGAGATGATACTGTTTAGCGTTCACATTACGTGAGATTTTTTTAATCCCCATTTGTTTTTGAATGCAGCAAGCACATTTATGGTGTTTAAGATTTTTGCTACTACTAAAAAGCTATAGTAAGTGATAAAAAAAAAAAGATGGCTTAAGGCCAACAAAATTGTAACAATGTGTTACGGTTGCTATATAACATGGTTTGTTACTCTCAAGTCACGTTTAAAGAGCAGTGGGTTGCTTTAAATTTTTGTAGCATTAGTTTAAAGTTATTAAAGCTTGAAATAAAAACTGATATCATGTAAGTAAGAAAGCAATTTAAAGATAATCAAATTGTTAAAAGTTATAGCATTATTAAAACCCTTATCTTTTAGAGATAAGGAAGTACAGAACTTGTAACTATAGCAACCACATATTGTTGAAAACAGCTGTTGTCATGGAATGTGAAGAATGTATTTTGACTAATAAGGTTACAATAACGAAGGCACTGTCTCAACACTTGTCATTAGCCTAATCACTAAAGATCAGTAAACAGAACATTGGTAGTTTTTGAAAAATAGCTCATATCAAACATAAGTAAATAAAATAATTCAGATATTATTTTATTTTTTTATATAAAGTTTAAAATTTTTCATTTAGTGAAAACTTAAAGTGGTAACAACATATATTTATAATCAAATTGAGAATTAAACCTGGCTAGTAGATGTTTGAAATCTTGAAGATATATTTAAAAGTCAGGTAAATAGTCATATACACATGGATAGATGAGTATAACTTCATAAATAAAATATTTTTAACACAGAAATACACTTAGCAGAACTGCAGAGTTGGTGCCACCCTAGGTTGTAATTTCGAAACGTTCTTATGAGAAAAAACAAAATCAATACACAAAGATTAAAATAAACCACACACATATACACATACAGATATATATGTTGGAACTTCCAACATTAATGATCCTTAACCATCTTGCCAGAAGGCCAGTTGTAGCCCAGTGGTTAGGTTAGCGTGCCGCACTGTGAATCTGATGGTCATGGTTCGCATTACGTTGCCATATAATTACGCCTTGCACTTTTGTTATGTGATAGGAATGACGATCAAACAGAAGTAGCCAAAAATTGGCAGATGCTAGTTGCCCTACTCCTAGTGTATCGG